TATTTTAAGGATTTCAGTTTCCTTTTTCAAAGCTAGGTTCAAACATTGCAATAAGATATAATATGCTTTGATTAGAACTTAGTTATGAAGTATGTATGGATTTTTAAATAAGATATGCCATGGCTTCTAACACTGTACGATGAAGGGTCCTTGATGCTCTCTGATCTTGGTTGGTTTTTTTACAGATATTTCATTACCCAAACTAGGTAACATCATCAGTGTTAGTAGGGAGTGGTCTTAGAAGTTCTTTGATTGGTTTACTGTTATCTTGTTTGACATTCCTTGATTGAAGTATTGTTTAGTTCTTGATTGTTGTCTGATGTTAAACTTGGTGTTAATCTGTGTTCATGTGGGTGTTGATTGCTGGTGGAGAGGTATTTTGGCCTTTTTGTTCCCTTTTTGGTTTGTTGATTGTCTTCCTTGCAGAGTACATAGATGTTGTTCATATCTATGTCTCTTAATGGCCAATTTGTCAGAAAGAACATTGGTCCTTACCTGAACGTTTCTTTTCTGTAGTAAGGCGGGAGGGGCTACAGCTAGGTTTAGTCACAGCCTGATTGGTCTAGAGACTGAGGGATTTTTCTTAAGTATCCTCCTTTCCCTCTAGGCTCCCAGTTTCACGAGGTCGAATGGAAAAAGCTGCGAGTAGTATGTAAGGAAAGCCAATGTACACACACACAAAGACCCCCGACCGTCCCGAACCCGGCTGACCAATGGCATGGGTGGAATTTAGCCCCTCCCGCCTTACTACAGAAAAGAAACGTTCAGGTAAGGACCGTTATTTTTCCTGTAGTTTCGGCGGGAGGGGCTACAGCTGGGACATACCCAAGCTAAGTCCCAGGGAGGGATGTTGACTCCAGGGGAGGGGAGGTCGCTACCTGTTGGAGCAACCGACGGCCGAAGGCTATGTCCGCTGAAGCGAAACGATCTAAATGATAGTGTCGGATAAAGGGAGTTGGAGAGGCCCAAGTGGCCGCCCTACAGATGTCCTCTAGAGGAGCCCTGGTGGCCCATGCAGCCGTGGTAGCTGCACTCTTAGTGGAGTGGGCTGTAATTCCCTGCGGTGCAACCTGATCTAAGGCTTCGTAGGCCACCAGGATGGTCTGTCATAACCACCTGTCTATGGTAGTTGAAGAGACCCTGGCACCCACGGTACTGGGCTGGAAGGACAGAAACAGAGCCTCCGAACACCTAATAGGGGATGTGAGATAAATGCGCAAGGCGCGGCGGACACCTAGTCTGTGCCAAGGGATTTCCCTCTCATGGGAGGGAGAGGGACAGATGTTATGGAGAATGACCTCCTGTGATCTATGGAACAGGGATTGGACCTTTGGGAGAAAGGTCGGGTCGAGTCACAGAACGACCCTGTCTTGGTGGAATTGGCACAACTCATCTTTGGACGACAAGAAGCCCAACTCGGATTTCCATCTAGCCGAGGTAACGGCATTGAGGAAGGTCACCTTTAGAGTTAGGTACCTGAGGTGTACCATTCTTAATGGTTCGAAGGGGGAGTCCCGTGAGAGCCCTCAGTACTAGGGAGAGATCCCACGCTGGAAACCTGTGCACTGGGGGGCGGGCACAGGTTCACTGCTCCTTTTAGAAACTGTTTGACCAGAGGGGACTGGGCTAGGGATAAACGGCCCTCCCCTGCCAGGACTGAGGAGGGGGCAGCCACCTGTCTCTGCAAGTTGTTAATGGGAGGGACTCCGATCTAAGCTGTGTTGCAGAAACTCAAGGACCTGGGTGACCGAGGCATTGGTCGGATATAGGTGGAATCTTTCACACCAGGAGGCAAACATCGACCACGTCGAATTATAAATCCATGTGGTAGATGGTCGTCTGACGGCCTCAATGGTAGAGATGACTTTGGAGGACAGATTGGCATCCCTTAGAAGGCACCACTCAAGTGCCAGGCGGTCAGTTGGAGCCACTGGGGCTCTGGGTGGACCAGGACCCCCTGGCACAGGGCAATCTCCTCCTGGGGGATCCTCCAGGGAGGGGGATATGGACAGCTGGACTAGGTCCGCGAACCAAGGCTGCCTCGGCCGGTATGGAGCCACCAGGATGATGTGTGTTCTCTCTATCACTATTTTCCTCAGGGTCTCCTGGATTAGAGGAGGGGGGAAAGGTATAAAGGAGGCCCGGGGGCCATGGGCTTCTGAGGGTATCTGTTCCTTCTGTGTTGCATGCTGGGAAGCGGGAGAAGAAATGGGGCAGCTGGGCATTGGTCGGGCTGGCGAACAAGTCAACCAACAGGTTGCCGAAGCATAGGCATATTCTGTAGAAGAGTTCTGGAATCAGCTGCCACTCGCCATGGTCGACCGTTGCCTGACTCAGCCAGTCGGCCTGATGGTTGACTATGCCCAAGATGTGTTCTGATATTATTGACGCCAGGTTCCTGTCCGCCCAGAGCCCGAGCTTCTGGGCTTCCAGTCATAGGATCTTGGAATGGGTCCCCCCTGACAATTTATGTGGGCTTTTGCAGCAACATTGCCCATCAGGAGGAGCACGTGATGGTTGGCTGTCGAGTCTCAAAAATTAAGTAGAGCCAGGCAAGCTGCCTTCAGCTCCAGCCAGTTTATATTGTGGCACAGGTCGTATCGTGACCAGCAACCCTGCGCCAGTCTGGATTCCATCAAGGGCCCCCAAGCTGAAAAGGCTCACCTCTGTCGTAATGGACATGCGATCCGGCTCCCAAAACTCGGATCCGCAGCTCAAGGCCGGGGACAGCCACCACTTCAGGGACCAGTGAAGCCCCGGTGACAGGGGGACCGAACATGGAGAATTGCTCGTGCTTTGACATTGGAAGGGGATGAGCACCCACTGGAGAGTCCAAGAGTGGAGGCGGGCCCATAGAACAATCCCTATGCACAACACCATCTTGCCCAGCAAGCGGACCAAGGTCAGGATGGAAACTGACCGACTTGCATGGATGTGTTGTGCCATGGCTTGAAGGCTTGTCAAGCGTTCTGGGGAAAGACGAACTAGTCCCATTCTCGAATCTATCACTGTTCCCAGATGGAGAATTCTCATCGAGGGAGAGAGATGGTTCTTGGGGAAGTTGATGGAAAACCCCAGAGACTGTAGACTTCATATGGATAGGTTCAGGTTGCAAATTGCCTGTGCTCAGGATTGGGCCAGGACGAGCACGTTGTCGAGGTAGCAATAGAGTCTCACCGGGAGGGATCGCAGGTGAGCTGCCAATGCCGCCAGGACCTTCGTGAGCGTGCGGAGGGAAGAAGCCAGACCGAATGGGAGTGACCTGTATTGAAAGTGGCGTCTCCTGTGGAAGAAGCAGAGGAATCTGTGATGGGCTGGCCGACTTGGAATATACAGACATGCCTCTGTCAAGTGTATTGAGGCCAGGAAGTCACCCCATCGGATCCCCAGGAGAATGGACTTGAGGGAGGACATTTTGAAGTGCCGGTAGACTAGGTAAGAATTCAGGCGCTTCAGGTTCAGGATCCTCCTCCATCCCCTAGAGTTCTTCAGGACGACAAACAGGTTGGAATATAGGCCCACCCCGTGCTCTTCCAGTGGGACCGATTCGACAGCCCGAATGTCCAGCAGGTGTTGGATTGCTAGGAGCATTAGGCGTCGCCGTTCTGGATCCAAGGACGGTGGAAAGGTCCTGAATAGCATCGGGGGAAGGGAGAGAAATTCCAGGCGGAGGCCATCCCTGACTGTTGACGTGACCCATGCATCCCATGTTATCTGGTCCCACTGATCCGCGAAGAATGCAAGGCGGCTGCCTATGGGTTGACTCGGATTGGAGTCATTTCCCTCTGTGGAAGGGGTGGCTGCCCCCTCCGTGAAAGGGCCGCTTGGATTGACCTTGATATCTATCCCTATCCTGATAGAAAGGGCGCTGACTCTGCCTGTCATATCTGTAGGGGGCATACCGCTGCTGGCGATAGTCCTAGAAAGGGGGCCTGAAAGAAGGTCTACGGTAGAAAGATGGATGAAAATGTTAGAAGGAAGGACCTTCTTCTTATCCTTGTTCTCCACAAGGATTGGGTCAAGGAAAGCCCCGAAGAGGTTGGGACCGGTGAAGGGGGCTGCTGCCAGATTCCATTTGGACTTGTTGTCCATTTGCCAATTGTGGAGCCACAAGAGGCGCCTCGATGTTACAGTGTCCCACAGAGGTGGACAAAGCCCTAGAAGGGAATTTTATGGAATCTAGGGTGGCGTCTGTGGAGAACAGGGTGGCTGAGATGATCTTAGTGACGTCTTGATGAAGATTGCCGCAGCCACATGACCACCGTGCAATTGAAGTAGGAAGCTGCTGCAGATGATTTAATGGCCCAGACTGAAGCATTGAAATTCTTACGGAGGGTAAGTTCCACATGCTTGTCCTCGGGCTTTAGCTTGTCGGCCACATCACCTGAGACTACGGTGGAAGCATTAGCAAGGACGATGAACGGGGGCATTTATTGTAGGCAATTGTAGGACCTGGGGGAAGGCCTGCTCCATGTTGTAGAAGCGCCTATCATTACTCCCAAGGTTGGGTAAAGAAGAAGGTCGAGACCACTAATTCTTGACCACTTCTAAGAAAAGAGGGGGGGCTGGAACTTCCTCCTTATCTGTATTGGGATTATAAACATGGCTAGGTTGGAACCCCTGTGTTGGGACACTGGAGGGGCCCCCATACCAATCTGAGTAGTCTTTTTGGCCTTATGCAGAAGAGATTTGAAGGCCGGGGGAAGAATGAGACCTGAAAATGCCGGAGGATCAGGAGGAACTGAGTCCTCATCTTCCGAGAACCCCAGGTCTGGATGGGCCACCTCTCCTAAGATAGAACCCTCACTGACTACCAAAGGGGGCTGAGGTGGATCCTGCCCCCTGGTGGAAGACGGAGATCTGTATCTGGGGGCAGAGTGAGGCCTTGCTACCCTTTGGGAGGGCCCTTCCCTTTAGGACAGGTCCGAGGCGATGCCCTTAGCTATAGCGTGGAGATGAGTCTCCTGATGCTATCAGGCAGCAGCTCCAGATCCTCCAAATCTTCCTCGGATGGGCCCCGGGAAGAGGTCCCTGGGGGGCAAGCTGGCAGGTAGTCCTGAGATCCTCCTTCTCCTGGATCCTCTCCCCCCTCCCTATATGATCTAGGGGATATGGGAGGTGAAGGAGAAGCCACCTGTCTGCGAGGTCTTGCAGGTGAAATAGAATGGAAGAAGGGCTGAAATCCCTGGGGGGCGAACCAGAATGGTGAGAGCTGAACCCTATTGGGGATCTGGATCTGCAAGGGGATTCAGGCCTAACCGCCTGCGCTAGCCTCTCTGCCCTAGCCACCTGCTTTTCCAAGGCCTTGTGTCTCCTTGACTCATCCCTAGCAGCTGCTCTGGAAGGGCGCTGGTCAGCCACAGGCCTGGAGGCCGCTGCCCCAGGCCTGAGTCTGCCTTGGCCTTCCTCTGCCATTTCTCCTTCAGCCTGCACGGATTCAGGGACTGTGGAGGCCATGCCTCACTCACGTGGCCTGTACATGGATTGACTGCGGCAAGCCTGCCAGCCTCGATGCACGGACGTGCTGCAGGTGCTGGGCGGAGGAGAAGGTCTACCGGTCTTGATTAATGGCCGCGATATTGGCAGTGGACCCGAGGAGAAGACGTCTGCGGCCCTCGATTAGCGGCCCTGATGCAGGTCACTGCCTTAGAAAATAGCCTGCCACCCCTGCACACCCAGGAATCGGACAAGCCCCTTATCTGGCCCAGGGTAGGAAGCCAGGACTCTCATTACCCTCATGAGGCTGAAGACAGTCTCCTTGGTCAGCAGTCTGAGTCTTTCTTTTTGTATAATACATTTTAGAATATCCAATCAACCGAATTAAGAATTATAAATCTCAATAAGTACCGCACTGGAGCCACAGCTAGTGCTTGGACCAAAGACTGAGGGAAACTGGGATCCTAGAGGGAAAAGAGGATACTTAAGAAAAATCCCTCAGTCTCTGGACCAATCAGGCTGTGACTAAACCCAGCGGCAGCCCCTCCCGCTGAAACTACAGGAAAATGCCATGTTTACAAGAATTCTCTAGCGTTTTTGGGCCTGGCTTGGTGTAGGACGGTCACAATTTTCCAGTTGAAACTATGGATAAGTCTGTCCATATATTGTGAAATTTCATCATGTCTGGATAATGATAGATACATTCTGCTTAGTCCTATGCCTGTTTGTCCTACATAGTAGCTTTGCAATCTTTACACTATAGGTTGTATATGACTCTTGTTTTTTCTTCTGGGGCTGCTCGATCTTCTGGATCATATAGGATGTTTTGGAGAGTTTTAGTAAGTTTGTTTGTTGCGCTGATGCCATGTGGTAGTAATTGTCTGTTAGTAGTTTCTGAGATGATATTGACATATGACAATGTTATCCTTTTTATGGCTTGTGTTGGTTGTGCTATATTGGGTTGAATAGCCAATTCTCAAGCATAAACATACTGCAGCCACCCAGAACAGCAGAAAAAGGAAACAACGTCTATACAACATCTTCCAACAAAATGGATATTCATGCAACTTCATCAGAAAGTGCCTAACTTAACAAGCCAAATGAACAAAAAGCTCAAAATAGCTCCCCACCAGCAATCAACACTCAGATGAACATAGATTAAAATCAAGATTAACATCATACTAATAATCAAGAAGTAAACTTTTATGACCCTGTAATTCCTTGTTTCGGGATGGAGTCAGGGTGACTGAATGAAGCTGAACTTTTTACTGGTCAGATTGCTCATGTGGAGACCTCTAGTCCATCTTGCCGCTGAATCAAAAACTACACAATATCCCAATCAAATAACCGCAAAACAAACTAAGAGTAAACAGCCCAACAAAGAAACACCAAGACCACTCCCACCAATACTGACAAGGCAAGTCACTGGAATATGAACTGAGAGCAAACTCAACTCCCTACTAGCACTGATGATGTTATTTAGTTTGGGCAATGAAACATCTGCAAGAAAACAACAGAGCTCAGAGAGCACCATCTCTACCCTCAAGTATGAATATTTTCCTATATCAATATATTGTATGATTTCATACAAAGTGTTTAGATTAAGAGTATTATTAGTATCGGGGCCCAACTCATTCAGTGGGTCACACACTCGACCTCGTATTCCTCTCGGAGCAGTGGACTTGTGATCTTGGTCTGAGGGGTAGTGAGATCATACCCCTGT